AAGTTAAATAATTACAATTAAATGCACTACTACTACTACTAATAATAATAACAACAACAATAATAAACACACCTCATCAGAGTTGTGGGTCACGTACTGGAGCAGAGCAGTTCTCTTCCTCTGTCATATGGTCATCCTTCAATAAAAGCTGGATAAAAAAAATAAAAAATATATATTAGTTAGACAGCAGTACTCAAGGGTCCCGGTCCCCACTATGTCAGACCGTACTGTGTGTGTATTCAGGACTAAGTGTATTTTACAGCTTCTCTAACATGCCTCTGGTCCCCACAATGTTACACTAGTGCATACGTTCATAAATTAGGACACACACTCTGTTTCATTTCTATAATTTGATTAAGTTAAATAATTACAATTAAATGCACCACTACTACAACAACAACTACTACTACTACAACTAGTAATAATAATAACAACAACAACAACAACAACAACAACAACAAAAATATTAATAAACACACCTCATCAGAGAGTTGTGGGTCTCGTACTGGAGCAGAGCTGTTCTCTCCTTCTGTCATATGGTCATACTTCAGCAAACCTGAATATAAAAAATATATATATTAGTTAGACAGCAGTACTCAAGGGTTCCGGTCCCCACTATGTCAGACCGTACTGTGTGTGTATTCAGGACTAAGTGTATTACACAGCTTCTCTAACATGCCTCTGGTCCCCACAATGTTACACTAGTGCATATGTTCATACATTAGGACACACACTCTGTTTCATTTCTAGATTTTGATTAAGTTAAATAATTACAATTAAATGCACCACTACTACAACAACAACAACTACTACTACTACTACTACTACTACTATTACTAATAATAATAACAACAACAACAACAATAATAAACACACCTCATCAGAGTTGTGAGTTTCTTACTGGAGCAGAGCAGTTCTCTTCCTCTGTCATATGGTCATCCTTCAATAAAAGCTGAATATAAAAAAATTTATATTAGTTAGACAGCAGTACTCAAGGGTTCCGGTCCCCACTATGTCAGACCGTACTGTGTGTGTATTCAGGACTAAGTGTATTTTACAGCTTCTCTAACATGCCTCTGGTCCCCACAATGTTACACTAGTGCATGGGTTCACCAATTAGGACACACACTCTGTTTCATTTCTATATTTTGATTAAGATAAATAATTACAATTAAATGCACCACTACTACAACAACAACTACTATTACTACTACTACTAATAATAATAATAACAACAACATTAAACACACCTCATCAGAGATTTGTGGGTCACGTACTGGAGCAGAGCAGTTCTCTTCCTCTGTCATAAGGTCATCCTTCAATATAAGCTGAAAAAATATATATATATATATTAGTTAGACAGCAGTACTCAAGGGTTCCGGTCCCCACTATGTCAGACCGTACTGTGTGTGTATTCAGGACTAAGTGTGTTTCACAGCTTCTCTAACATGCCTCTGGTCCCCACAATGTTACACTATTGCATATGTTCATAAATTAGGACACACACCAAGTTAAATAATTAAAATTAAATGCATTACTACAGCAACAACATTCACTACTACTACTACTAATAATAATAATAATAATAATAATACTAATAAACATACCTCATCAGAGAGTTGTCAGAGCAGTTCTCTTCTGCAGTCATATGGGCATCCTTCAATGAAAGCTATTTAAAAACAGCTTTGTTATATAAGTCATGTCATGACTATAAAGCTTTCATAACAGTCTTATGAACCCCCCTTTAATGTAAAGCATTACCCAATTAATTTAACTTTTTTTTACCCATTAAGACAAGAAGAAGATATTAAGAGATTGATTTCATTATCTCTTATGAATGATGCAAACTCTTTATTTTTGAACAGATTTACCCTTAATCTATATTAACATTAAAAAACTCTTAGCTTTGCTGAATGTATTAAGGATTAATGTATTAAGTGATCAAAATGTCAAACCTTTCTCCAAGGCCAATCACATGTGCCATAGTCAAACGTTATTTCCTCTCCAAAGAAAATATCCCTGATTGCAAAAAGGCACAAATGAGGTTTTCTCTGAACAACGATCTTATTGACAGTGCAGTTAGGGTGCAGATGGTCATCATTCACCAGCCGGCCGAGGGTCTCGTCCTCATGATCGGCATCAATGCTGCAAAACTAAGAGAAAAGAGCAAGCAACATTTTAATTATGCCCTCTCATAGCAATGAAAAGCTAACTATGGCATGAATACAAACACAATGAATATAATATATACATGTACATTTGAATGGGGAAAACACTTAACCACCTGTTCTTGTTTTACCATATAAAGTCAAACATAAAGACAGTATTTTTATTAATATCTCATCTATGCTTTGCTTCCACAAGCTCTATCATTTGTACTCAACCACAAAACTTCCTTTAATAAATGTGGACAACGCAAACTCTGACCTAAAAGATTTAATGAAACATGTAGGGTTCAAAAACTACAAAAACCTCACATTAGCATCCTCTCTGTGTGTGAATTATAAATACAGTAAACCTTTTGAAGTGGATTAGAACCTTTCCTCAATGTTGTTCTAATACTATTGAACACCTGTTCTTCTTTCTTAGGACAGTTTTAAAGAACTTTTTTTCCACTTCAATTGTTTACAGGTCACACTTTACAATCAGGTTTTATTAGTTAATGTACTTACTAACATGACCTAGTAATGAACAATGCATGTACAGCATTTATTAATCATAGTTTAACATTTACTAATGCATTATTCAAATCTAAATTCATGCTTGTACCAGTAATAATGCATTGAAATAATTAATGCATTGTGCGTGTTTAACTAGTAATGAACAACTTTATTTTCATTAACTAAAGTTAAACAACATGAACAAATACTGTAATAAAGTATTATTTATTGTTCATGTTAGTAAATGCATTAACCATCATTAACTAATTTAACCTTATTGTAAAAGGCTACCAGTTGACAGCAAATAAATAAATAAAACACACACAGTGTACATTTATGTACTTTTATATATGTTTTACACTAAGTTGGAGTTTACTATATTTATTTATCTAAAATAAAACGTTTCTACACGTCATAGAACAATAAATTAAGTACATTTCTAGGACCAGATGGCCCCACATTTTAATTATAACCTCTATATCACTACATTAACGTATAAATAGTATATAATAGTGTTATTTTAGGATTAACGTTACATGTTTAAAGCAATTAACCATTTAAAAAGTATGATACAAGAACTATGAAAACATACCTTAGTAACCTTCTATATATTCGGTTTCCAGTGAATGGGTCTTGTCGGTGGAGCTGGTGATGTGTTTCTCCGCATCTTTTAATGGTTTTATCCTCCGTCGATCCATTTAGCCGCACGGTGATTGGTGACTGTCTGACCGCGGCTCATGCACTCCACCCCGGCCTCTGACTCACGTAGCACCGGGCAGTTAGCACGTTAGCACATTAGCGCGAGTAACTTTTACTCGTGTAAACAAGTTAAATTACATACCGAACTGTAGTTTGTGTCTTATCAGTGTTATATTAATACGTAATTTGAAACAACATCGATTAAAACACCCAGGACATTCGTTAAAACATTTAATTAACTATACCTGATAACTGTCAAAATATGCAACATAAGTATTTGTCATAAAACCGATTTCATTACATTATGATAGTGAAAAACATTATAACTTACCCGAAAATTCGATTAATTTGATGATAGATCTTAATTAAGTTGATTAAAGTCGGATTCATTTATGAGATCTGCGCATGTGCAGTAGCCAGAGTGTGTAAGTGTGTGTCAGGGTGCAGTACCGCCATCCGACTACAGGACCGCTATAGAGCAGTGCGCCGACACACACTTACACACTCAATTCAGGTAAATGGTCAAGGTGGGGATCAGTGAAAAAAACTGCACTAGGCATATCAGCAACGCCCCCTGAGTCTTTTAAAGGCAAAACATGGTGGGGACCGGGCGATCGGTCCCCACTATGTTTTTGGTCCCCACTTTGTGAGTGTGCTATCATGCTGAGGTCCCCACCATGTAATACAAACAAACACACACACACACACACACACACACACACACACACATATTTGTACACAACTAACTGTATATATGTTTGTGAATTTTATTTTGCATGTTTGCACAAGTGTCATTTGGGTGTTTATGCACACATCAAGTTTATATTCTTATGTGAGAGTTTATGGGTGTATATGCATAGATCAAGTTTATATGTATATGCAAGAGTGTATAGGTGTGTTTGCATGCAGCAAGTTTATATGTATATGCAAGAGTGTATAGGTGTGTTTGCATGCAGCAAGTTTATATGTATGTGCGTGTGTTAATGTGAGTGTTTATGTGAGGATCGAGTTTATATGTATGTGCGTGTGTATGTGGGTGTATTCATGCGTCAAGTTTATATGTATATACACAAGTTTCATCCATGTTGTTTTGAACATTCAGTAGTATAGGTGTATATGCAAGTAATTTATAGGTGTATATACACGTGTTTTATGTATGTGTTGATAAGCAAAGTTTGATTTAAATCCTATACGGCACCTCATAGTCGTGGGTCAGACACGCAAGACAACAGTTTTACAACAGTAAAGCATAATCTACGAGTTCATTAATCCCCTGAGCTCATTAGCACACGGGCTAGCGCTTCACATGCACGAGAAACGTTAACGTTATACGGAAATAATCCAAACAATAGAGTTCCGGAGTCTGTGTCATAAAACCACTCAAAATTAACACAATGAGAGCACGTGGTTGAAATCTGCTGTTAATTCAGGGCTATAATTTACATGTCTGTTGAAGATGACAACTAGTTAGCTGGATGCTAACCTGTTCTATGTGTTTGCTATGGTAAGCTCTTACTGCTCTTCTTCCAGTCGAAATTGAATGTAGTGCGTTTAATGGTTTAATGCTAATTTGAAGTTCAGATCTGACATGTATGTGATTTATAAAATGTTCAGTACCGAAGGAAAAACGTAAACACTCACCTGGGAAATCGTGTAGTTCACGCTCTCACACACACCGCTGCTAGGAGACCGATGACGCTTTTTCCATCCACTCACA